TAAGATACAATTCATGTAAATTGAAGATGGTTTTTCCACATTCCTTTCAATTTGTCCATAATCAACATTATGTTAGGTCTATTGGCTTCTTTTGCTTAGCAGCTTTTGGCAATTAAACCAACACTTATAATAATAGAATACACTTTATAGTATAGGGTGGCTATTGACAGTGGGGGTACTGTATATTTTTGTCAATCCTAGCACTTGTGGTCTAGATACTCCATCCAAATCAACCATATTTAAACTTTTGTGTAACAGTTAAAGTAAAACACTGTTCCATGTAGTAACAAGTTTGTTATAGAAAAATATTTGAAAATAAAACCTCACATGGAAGATTTATACATATAAATAGGATATATATATATATATATATAATTGAAATAATTAATTATGGAACAGTTAATTTCAAAGAATAATATTGTTATAATCCCAGATTTGCTAGCTATCATTTGTTAGTACCTTCAGACATTGAGGTCAAGGCTTGTTATACATGATAAATAAAACTAATATTTGCCTCTGCTCTGAAAGCCCAGGTAACCTTCATGAAATCACTCAACTCCCTTTATATATTCAGTTACACTAGTCCACCCCTGAAGAAGAAGGTCCACCTTTTGATAGCGCTTGGATTATAGGGTCTTTATCATTTTATATTAAGATTTCATGAACCATGTATTTTTCTGACATCATGTTTATATTTAGGAATTATTCTTATGAAAAATGTATCATACATCAATGCTACACTGTTCTATATACCATATAATATTTAAAAAAAAAGTGATTTAAAACAGTAGTTACACATTCAGACCAGCTCTGTACAATAAATACTTAAACTTTCAAGCTAGAAGCATAATTTATAAACTATCACCTCGAAAAGTTTCCCTAACCTTATATCTTATTGCACATTGTTACTCAATCCTCTACAAAAAATGTGATCAAATAATCACCAGACTCAAGTTGAGATAACAATAATGAACCTCTATTTTAGTAGCATATTTCAGTACTTAATTTAAGTAATTTCTTCAGCTTGTGTTTTATACCAGTGTTTAATAAAATTTTTGCCCAGTTGTATATGCTCAAGGAAATATTTTTTTTACACAACTTACCCCAGAGGACTTTTGAAGCAGTCATATTTGATATACTGGCTACAGTGTTTTGATTGGTGAACCAAAGATTGTATCATCTTTGGTGTGAACTCACGATAAGTTACATCGATGTAGAAGTCAGATAAACCAGCTTTTCTAATCTCCTACAAATAAACACAATTTTCAGCACAAGCATTCAGGCCAGGCAAGGATGATGGAAAGTTAAGCAGCCTAGGTAGTACATGCCAAAACATGTTAATAAAAGATATATCAATTTTACTAATATAGCTTCAAGTTCACATGTTACTCTAGTACAAGATGCTTCAGTACATTAATTCTTTTGACCAAAAAAAAATTAATTTTCAAACTTCCAACACCCATGCAATTATACTATGTATAAAAAATATATTTTTTTTTAATATAAATCATGTTAGTTGGAGATCTGAATGATTCATGTTCACGGCATAAATAATCATAAGCTAAGCCATGAGCTAATTATTAATATACAACGTGGTGCAAAAGTCCAACCCTCACTATGATTTTCTCCAAAGTCATGTTTGTGTTTCACTAACTGTATGTTTCTCTTTTATTAGGTTGGGATGTCACTAACCTTACACAAATGTGTGAAGTTATCCTGTTGTGACCATGTGTCATGATATCAAGTGTAATTTTTCAACAGCTGTCAAGACAGGACTTGGAAAACCATGTGGGAACACCTTTTGCATCACCTATACAAACTTATATATAACCACAAAAGTGATAATTTACACATATTAAAGGAGTGTTCATGCCCTCTAACATTTGACTTCCAGAACTTACCCACTGAAAAGTTATTTCTGCAATAAACATGCAGATGTTTGCAGTGAATGCACTTATAAAAACTGAAGATTTATATAGATTCAGATATATATAAACATTTTATTAATAGTCTATAGCTAAAAGCTCAAAAAAAGTGGTTAGGTATAAAAGGATGTTTACAAGGTTTATCTCATATTAATATATTAATAGACTTTTAAAATATATAAGAAATTATATACACTGCCAAGTTATAACAGGTGCAGGCCTCCCATTGGACCATTGCAGACATACAGGACTTTTAAAGGTTCCTTCTTCTAAACGTATAGAGCAAATTGTGGTTTCACAAAGCAAAATATAGAGTTCAATATATATATATAAAAACTAATAATGGACTAATAATAAATGCAAACTTCTGTATCCATCATAAAGATTTCAGTATTCAAGATCTGATAATGAAATCTGATATATCTCCCCACATCAAACATGCTGCAGTCATTTTATTTTACAGACCTGTATAAGGTAATTATGGTAATACCATGCCAATGTTAGTGGTTCAAAATATAAGTTTACTTTCAAATTTATAATCTTTCAATGATTTTTGTCTTATTCTGAACAAAAGTAAAGGAAAAAAAGAATGAGACAATAAAATAAAGGTTTTTCACTGAGAGGCCTGCAAGTAGTTAGAAATAACCAAACAATTAGATTGTTAGTATTAACCTTCACATTACCCTGTGCTGCTGTCACACCAAACAAATAATGGAGTGTTATATTTAAATAAACCACACGTCTTACCATCTCTGGTGGTACATTGTTCTCTATCCTTGTAATAATAGCACCACTCCCATCCTGACTCATATCACAATAAACATTGGATGGAGGTAATGGTCCATTCCTATCAATGTCAATCTTGTAGACTCCTGATTCTCTGTATCCTACCAAAAACAGTTCCTGGCAAGTTCTTTTGTATATTGCTGCAAGTAAAAAATAAGAGGGGCCCTATAGACTCGCAAGATATTTGGTGCATAAATACAGTGTAGTTTAAAAAAGTGTATTTAAAAAGTCAATGGGATACACTAGTAATCCTAGAGTCAAGAATTATCAAGCAAGACACTCATCATGTTTTATATGCTTTGACTAGGATACTTTTTTGTTTTTCTCACAAATTCTAGAGTAGCAGGATTTACTCAGCCTTGAGATGTGCTAATATTGACCATAGGAACTATCACATAACAGTGTTTCGTATCTACATATCAAATAATGAGACAAATGAATATGCTAATATGAAACACTGATAATTAAATCAAAAAATATATAAAATTTTCTTTATGTTTCAGTTGTTCCTTTTGTTCAAAACCCAATACTTAGAAACTTTCAACTGAATCATTAAATTAGTTGAATAACAATCCTATATCAATCTCAAACATCCTTCACTAAATTTGAAAACACTTAAGTCTCACTTAAGTGTATACAATATCTATGGAGTGTTGAGTGGATGGATCCTACCGGTAATTCTTCAAATAATCTAAGAAAATTATTAATTTTAAACTAAAAAAATTTATATCAACACATTTCAATGATACGCTGTCTTTCTGGATTTTAAACACATATTTAGGTTGGAGATTAAATCTGGCAGATGGGAAAAACTTAAAATATATAGTGATGTTATCTTCAGTAACTCTGGTAAGAAATATGCTAAAGGTTTGATCAATCTACTTTTTCAGTCTTCTGGGTTAGACTGACTTTGGTGATTATCACCTTTTACTAGAAAATGTTGGACTATAATGTACGAGAAAAAAAAACTTCCTTAATAAGAATTAAATATACTTTTTTTTATTAGGGCTTCTATACAATTATATTCTATATATTAACATAGAAGATTGAGAATTTTATTCCAATTTGTTTTTGTCTATCATCAATCCACAGATTAAAACACTGAAATTATAACTGAAATGGGAATGAAATAAAATCCAATGTGGAAGAAAATCCTTGTTGCAATATGCCAGTATATATCTAGTTATCAACCATGTCACAAGTCTATTTCACTTTCTATGACTCCATTTTCAGTCACTTTGGTCAAGTACAGTACGAGGAGTGAAGTCTAGTTTAACCCCGAGGAGTGTGGTGAAACAACAGAAATGTCAAGCTTCGAATATTTTCTTTCCCATAAAAAATAATGGAACAAAATATTAATAAAACATGAAAGTAATGTTTTGTTGACTAAAATTAAATGAAAATGAGACTGTAATGTTCTGCTGAATGTTGAGGAATGAAAACATGAAGATAGTAATGTATTGTTATGCATTAATAATGAAAACAACACATTTACACCATGTTTTCTGTAAAAAAATATACAACTGAATGAAAAAAACAATATATGACAAACTACTTTTGGTAAAGATTAAGGAAAAATTATTCAAAAAAATGTTCATGATTTTATACAAACACACACAAACACCTCAGGCACATACTTATAAATATAGAAACTCACAAAAGTAACAAGTTTCTCCAGTGTATCCTGTTCCAGTACAGTTACACTTAACTTCATTGTTCCTGAGATAGCAGTGTCCTCCATGTTCACAGGCAGATGGATTCTTACAGAGATCCACCAACTGGCAGTTATCCATAGACACCTTTCCTGGTGCATGTTTTGTCCCCACAACCATACGTGGATCTATCCACTTTCCTTGGATGTAAATGTCTCGCAAGCAGCCAATCAGACCTACAGAAAAAAAATTCAGTTTCATGGATCAATTAAAAGTCAAATATGCATTATTTGACCACAAGTAAATTACACAACAAAATCTTTATGAATAATAAGTTTAATTTATTGTACATTATTTATTTATATAAACTTTATGAATAACATACTAAAATTGTTGTTCAAAACAATGTAGTGGCTTTCACCAATTTCTAAAAAACACACTGAAGAAATCCAGATAACTATAAAATCTCATCACGATCTTTATATGAGAACAGCTTTTTTTAAAATCTGATTGATTTGGTTGATGTTGGTGGAAAAGTTTAGATCTTGCCAGAAATAAAGCAATTATGTCTTGTGAAAATATAAAAGCTTCATGAAAAATAAAAATTGAAGATGTTAACAACCAAAGTTATGGCCTAGTAACATAATTACACTAGTTTATTTGCTACTCCTTATTTCAGTTCTTTAAACATTCAGTACTTATTTTACCCCCAATCCCTTTCACAGTCTATCAATCCAATTCTCAAAAGTTCAAAGTTATCTAAATAAAACTATTTTAAATTATAAAAAACAAATAATAATAATACTAAAAACTTTCAGAAATATTATTTCAGTCAAGTAAGTAAAACAAATAAACTAAGCAGCATTAGTTGTGTTATCCTTAAGAAAAAGATGTGTAGTTTAGTAATTCACAATAAAATGATAGCAATTTTTACAGAAGGCCAGTTCTTACTTTAATAATTACAATATTTTGACACATAGTATTGACTCATCATCAGGTAAAAAAGTCACATTCAAGAAGGATATTTGGTTAGTTTTTGTCAAGGTATTTTATGAAATAAGCATAAATAAAATTTTATTATGAATTTGAACAAATAAAAGATAAGTTTTTAAGTGTGATGGTAGTACTCCACACTGAAAAGCTTCAAAGATAAGTTACAAATTTTTCATTGAAATGCTGTTTGCGGTGATGGAACTTTCAATTACTACAATTTTTTTTTTGTCTAACACTTACCATCAAAAACCTAAATTTATATACATTTTAAAGAATACATAATTAGATAAATTAAAACGACTCATGAAATAGTTGTTTAGCCTGAACTAGACAGATTAATAAAATAGATGTTCAGCATCAGTTACATGGACTAAATAACTAGTGAAATAGCTGTTTAGTCTGAACTAGACAGATTAATAACATAGATATTCAGCATCAGTTACATGGACTAAATAACTAGTGAAATAGTTGTTTAGTCTGAACTAGACAGATTAATAAAATAGATGTTCAGCATCAGTTACATGGACTAAATAACTA